ATCAATGAGATTGCACTTATGAACCATCTTTGAAATGCTGTGTGTTCGTAACCTTATCAACAAAATGTTTTACTGTGTAACTGCAGTGACTAATATCTATTTGGAAGAATTACTGTAATGATAAACACTGTGAAAACCTGGAGGCAGCCAATAAATCTGAAATGTACATCTCTCCCAAAGCCGAAAACAAACCATTTGCATTAATAGTTCAATCTACCCAGATGAGCATCAACATATAATTTTAATACTGCAGTAGTAGTAGAAGCAATAGTATTAAATGTCAGTGCCAAAAGATCTGTTTGGATGCAACTTTGACTATTGTGACCCTATTCACTGATTTAACTCTAGGCATCTGACAATTGTTAGGATATGCTGAATAACTCTTATAACATACGTAACCCATAAAAATGAGACTGTAACATTCATGAAAGGGTAAGTAGGTATGTTTAAGTAAATAAACACTATAGGCCTAAGTCTGTGGGGTACCCTGTCAAAAATGTGATTATAGAGTGTTGTGTTTGAATGAAATCTTTTGTGAGACTTAAAACAATATTTTGTAGTGGAATGGAAGTGTACCTTCTTCAATGAAGCACTTTTGAATGAAGCTCATCGACTGTCATTGCAACAAGACTAAAAAAAATCACTGAAATAAAACTCAGCAAAGGTATAATGGGATCAACCAAACTTTAGCACCGAGTGTCTGTCTCCACGGGAATTCTGAATCACCTGCAGACATACAAAAATACCAATCCGGTAAAAATAATACAAAATTATCAACGCTATTCCGAAGAATTCCTTTTGCATAACAGTGAAAAAGACTTTAGTGATATTGAATGTGTCCCTTTGAGAACCATAATCTTCTTTAAATGCATCAGGAAAGTTGCAAGGACCTTTCATCTGAGTCTGGTCAGCACAGTGTTCTTTGTCAAAAAATGACTGTGTCTGGAACCTGTTGTCAAATTGGTCTCAATGTGATTCAACACTTCAAAAAAAAATTCAGAGCCTCCTTGGCAAAACAAGTTGGATAGTGAAACAACTCTGAAATGTTGGAATGATGGCAAAAAGTAAAAGACATGGGTTGCTTCTAAAAAATACATCTCAAGTACAAAAATGAGGTCCAGCACCAAGGACAGAGACACAATGATGATTTCTGGTGAAGTGATACAGCTTTGGGAAAACATATTTAACAGTTTGACGAATGATCACAAAAATTAGAATGCCTGCATATAAGAGTGGACAACTCTTCTCTGAAATATCAGAAAACACCACTATACTTAACCTTTACTAAGAAGAGAAGTATGCTCCAAGAGGTTCACGATGAGCATAAGAGAACAAAATATTATTTGAGAGTAAAAGTTTAATAAATTAAAAAGGATTGAATTGATACAAACTATTTTCATAGCAAACGAGTGGTGCATTTTTAATTTGCCATTTGAAAAGGTAAGTCAGACGTGTTCACATTTCTCTCGCGGTTTTGATGAATTGTTAAGATGCAAATTCACGCTTTGAGTGGAATTTGTCACCCAGTCTTACCTCAGGAGAAGAATCACAGTCTCCAAAGGCATCAGCAAAGTCAGAAGGACTTTTCCTCAGAGTCTGGTCAGCAGGAAGTGTGTTGTCATTGTAAGATGTCACAAACTTAAAGTCACTGGTTCGAGAACCTGTTGTCAGGTAGGCGTCATAATTGTAAGTGCTGCGTAAAGTTCCTGTGCCATCAACATCTGCGTAATT